GGCCTCACGTGATGCTAATCGCTTTCCTTGGAGCTAATCAGCGCCTCTTTCGCAGCGAGCCATTATAAATCCCGTTACGATCCCGTCTTTGCTAGGCAATAACAGTTAGCGCGAGGCGCGCACAGAGGCTGCTGCAAACCCGCGCGCTCGTCCGGGCAATGCTTGCAGCGTCAGACCCTCTGCGATCCATTTGCCCGAGACGGTCCAAAGACGGGGCTGGTGTGTTAGAAAGGTGCTGGGAAAGGTCTGGGAATAAGGACACGGGGATGAGGTGGCCTCGTGCACGGGCACCACTTCCCGTGGAGCGATGGGTCCCTCTGCGGGGATGGACGTCCCAGCTCCCTGGAGCCCCTGAAATGGAGCCCTCCTGGCCATCACAAACAGCAGGACTAGGGTTTTTTTGTTTGTTTACGTGTCCGTTTTTAAAGAAAGGAAAGAGTTTGACATAAGAAAAAAGAGACACAACTGAAATGCTCATTAAAACTGAGGTTTCCCTGTCGAAGTGGCCACATCTTCTCCGAAGGCTCCCCAGGCCATGACATACCATGTCTGAGACTTTCCTCCCTCCTGACCCTGGCGGCTTTTGTGGTTCCAAATGTTTCTGCTGGAAGTGGGAGAGAGGGAGCAGCTCCGCGCTTCCCGCCTTCCCTCCTATGGCCGAGCAGGCACTTGATTCTCCTGACAGCAGCTGCCGCTTCCACAGGCTCCGCTCGGAAGCGGAAGACGTCTTTGCTAGACCCATTTTCAGGCCTTTCGTTGTCTGTATCACAACACAAAGGGCATTTAAGCACAACCGCCTGTAATCCAGGCTGGGGAGAGCCCAGGGTGGGCGCTTCTCTGGTCCCCGTCCTCCCGCTCCCGTTCCCCGGAGCATTCCGCATCCCGGGGAGCTGCCGCGATATCAGCCGCGCTCGGCTCTGCTCCGGTTGCAAAGAAATTGCCACAATTTCCAAAATACCTTTTTGGTGTCCAAGACACCTTTGCCCCCCTCCACGTCATGCCTGCGCTCTCCTGTTTTCCCTCTGATTCCTTCCTCTGCTCCGGCGCTGGAGCACACGCTCAGCATCCCGGTCCCCCCAGCACCGCGAGGGTGATGCCGGCCGGAGCGCGCGCCACCTCCCATCGGAATAACCTTTCAGGTCTCATTTAGCGCCTCTCTCTTCCCGCTGCACAGCCGCGCCGTGAGCACGTTGCTAATTGCAACTTTTAACGCGTTGCATCACGGAGGAGCCCGACCGAACGCGGCCATTTCGCGCATCCCAGCGGCAGCGTGAGCCATGCAAGGACACGGGGTCCCTCTGCTCCTGGCGTTTGCAAGGACAGGGAGGATGTTCCTGCAGGAATACTTAGGCAGAGGCTTGGGTAGATAAGTAGGGATGGACTCCATCAATTCGGGAACAGAATAAAACCCAGAGGCAGCCACTATGTTCAGGAGCATTGGGAATGTTGGCTGGGAAAAGTGTCGCCCTGCAAGGTTTGGGCTAAGGCAGTGGGGTGGAAGCACAAGCAGCGCAGAAGTGGTGGCTCCAGGGAGGAAGGAGCCAGCGGAGGCTCCCAGTGCTGGCACTGGGCTCCCAGCTGGGGAAAAACTTGGATATGGAGAGACTGGGATCCCCACAGCCGGGCCTGGGACGTCTCTGGCTGGGCCAGCTCAATGGCAGCCAGTTGGGGAGCTGCAAATCACAGCGGAGCCAAACCCAGCAAGGAGATAAAAATGTTGGGCACCTTGTGGGTTAGAAGCAGAAAGACACCAAATGCTGGGGATTTCTCCTGGACAAAGAACCACAAAACCGGGAGACGCTCATCCCTAAAGCATCATCCCTGGCTAACAGATCAATCCAGGAGCACGGAAAAGGGCGGCTCATCCTTTGCTGCGCTCCAAGGAAGAGCCAACGATTCCCTAAGAAAACACGGTGGGGAAATGCAACTGTGCGTGTCCATGGCTGTGACACACGGGAAATGCCCCTGTCCGCGCCATGGCCGTACAGGGACTCGCTGCGGGCACCGCGCTGGCGCCTCATCCCGCTTCCGAACCGGAGCACGCGCTGGGAGTATCCCCCGGTGAGCCGGCTCAGCCGAGCAGGATAAACTGCTGCTGCCGGGAAGCAGTGAGCAGCCAAAGCAGCAGCAAAGTCCTCCCTGCTCCTGGCCCCCAGCTCGCCTCTGCTGGAAAAAACACCAAAATCATGGGGAAAAAATAACACTGGATGGCCAAAGCCTGGGGAAAAAGGCGAGTGTGACGGCCAGGCCAGTGCAGCCTGCCCTGCTCTGGCCACTTTTCCAGGTGGGACCTCAAGGAGGGTCCCAGTGCATTGTTCCCATGTCCGAACCACAACCTGTTCTGATGGATCCACTGGCTTCCCTGCTGCTGGAAGGATCCAAAGGACCCAAGCTGACCGGGAAGAGGGAAAGGGGCTGTGGAGCAGGTTGGTGTCCGGGCGCTGCCATCGCGGCTCCTCTCTCTCTGCTGTAAAGCTCCATTTGCAGTTTTATTAAATCGGGAGCCAATTTTGACATCGTTTCTTGCAAGCGGCTCCGCCTTGCAGGTGTGCGGGATTTATGCGCGATAAAGAAAGCCATTATGGGGAAACAGCAATCTTCAAAGACCACCTTGGAGACCCCGGCAAAACAAAAACACTAGCCCGTGCAAATGGGCAATTAAGTTTCAAAATACTCGTGTGCCATGAAAAGCGCCGTCCCCACAGAGAACAGGCCTTTAAGGCAATTTTCCCCAGCCCTACTCAGTGTTCACTCAAAAACGCCTTTTAAAAACAACATGTGATTTCCCCTTGCTCCTCCTCCTCCCCTCCCGCCTTTGCTCAATTCCTCTATTCCAGGTGGGAATGAGGCAGCTCCCAACTGGAGAGACTCTCGCCTGTGCTTTGGGAGAAGCTGATGGAGCTGCAGGAAGGACTTGGGGGCGACCTGGCCATGAATGACCCCCAAATATGATGATTTATGGATGCAAAACTGTAATTTCTGGAGAGACCAATGCCCGGGCATCTCCACCTGGGGATTGCTGACCAGCACTTTGGGCTCACTCACTGCTCGGACATTAATTAAAAGCGCCTAATTAACCTGTGGAACGCACTGCCACTAGGTAGCGGCGAGGCCAGGGGCTTAGCGGGATTCGGGGGAGGATTATATGTTTAAATGGATAATGAGAACATCTGCCGGTACATTAGCCGGGATAAAGCAGAATTAGGGATAAGAGCCCTCCCGTGCCGGGGCGCGAGCCAGCACGGCGTGCCGGGGCCGCCCAGAGCGTGGGAACATCCCGGCCGGACACATGGAGCAGCAGAGCAAGGAAAAACATTTAACCGCTTCCCCGCAAAGAAGCATCCTTTAAAACGCGCTGCCGCCTCCCGGGGTTAATGCGCCGGCCGCGCTCTCCCTCCGCGCGCTTCCTCTGCGCGCGCTGACCCGCTGCGAAATTGCAGCCAGCCGCGCTGAATATTTTAAGAGCAGCAATGCAGTGGCGGCCGCGCTGCAAGGCAGGCCGGGAGCCGGAGCAGGGCCCTCGCCTCCCCCCCGCGCTGCCAGCCCATTAGCACAGTTCAGGGAAACCTAAAAAATTCAGGAGCCCGA